TTACTTTGGGTAATATTCTATTATGACAAAGAAATAAAAAAGATGCTAAAGTATTATTAGGATATTTACCAATACTTTGATGTAAACATTTGGTAGTTAAAAATTCTGAATATTTTAGAGCACTTATTCGTAAAGTTATAAATCAATGTTGGAGTATTATGCTATGCCCTATTCTAAAACTAGAAGAAATAGAATTAACAATTAATAGAAACCAAATCACTTTTTCTTCAAGAATTTCTGTATTTATTGCAGATATATTAGAAGCAAATAAGATTACAAGAATATACAAATTGGCTAATTGTATAAAACCATGTCTTAATTGTATTGTATATGTTAAAAATTTAAATAATATAAATCTTTTAGAAGATAATATTATTATGCAAACAACTGAACTAATAGCTTATATTATTCAAGTAAAAAAAGCTTATGAGTATTTAATATATGATCGATATAATATTTTTTGAGATTTTTTGTAAATAATTTAAAATAAATTAATAAGTTAAATTTTAGAATTATAATTAATATTTTTTATTTAAATTTTTAATAGAAATTTAAATATTTATGAAGCAATATTACCTAATGAATATCAAATAGTGATTAAAGTTATAATATTAGTAGTTGATGGATTGTTTGATGAAAAAGATTTATAAATTCGAAAAAGTAGCTATGATAGCCAATATTAGTTTACATCTTTAGCTCAAATAACTTTAGTATATTTTTCTTTTATTTAAATATATATAATGAGTTGTAAAGAAAAATTTTCAGAAGATGATTTAGTTATATTTGAGGTATATATTTTCTATAAAAATACTATTTTATCTGGGTTAAGTTACTTGATAAGCTATAAATTTTAATCATATAACTAAAATTAATAATGGCTTGGATAACTTTAAATAGAATTTCTTTATATTATTTTTTATCAATTATATAATCTGGGTTTACTAAAATTATATTAATATATATAGAATTTAATATTAAAATAAATTTGTAAGTTTGTTATCATATTTTCATGATTTAATCCTAGCAATATGTGTTTATCAAAGTTACATTCTTGGAGATATCATGTGATTCTGCTATTCATCATTATGAAACAATTAATGGGTATATAACTGAAACTTATGAAACTTTGCATAAGTTTTATATCAAAAATCCTTATTGAAAAAGTAATAAAAAAGATATTATGAACCAAATTCTGAATAATATAATTTTTTTTTTTTAAAAAAAAAAAAAAATTAATAAAACTAAGAATCTATATATTTAACTTAGATTC